CAGACTTTGTCTCAGAAAAAAAAGATGTAAAAATTCTAAATAACCCCAATATCAATCAATGAAATTGAAAATGTTATTAAAATAGCCCAAGTTCTGATGGATTCACTGCTGAATTCTACAAGAAATTTAGAGAACTAATGCCACTACTGATGAAACTGTTTAATGAAAGTGAAAGAGAAGTGATACTCTCAAAGTCATTCCTGGAGGCAAGTATTACCCTGATACCAAAACCAGAGGACTCAACCAAGAAAGAAAATTATAGGCAAATCTCCTTAATGAACATATACATAGATACTGGCAAACAGAAGGCAGCAAATCATCAAGAAGCTTATTCACCCTGACAAAGTAGGACTCATCCCAGGGATGCAGAAATGGTTCAACGTACCCAAATCAATAAATGTAATACACCATATTAACAGGGTCAAAGATGAAAATCACATGATCATCTCAATAGATGTAGAAAAAGCTTTTGACAAAGTCCAACACCCATTCATGATTTTACAAAACCTACATAAAATAGGAATTGATGGTCTTTATCTCAATCTGATAACAGCCACCTATGACAAACTGACAGTCAACATCATACTAAATGTTCAAAAACTGAAAGCTTTCACTCTAAAAGCAGGAACAAGACAAGGATGTCCACTGTCACCACTCCTATTCAATATAATTCTGAAAACATTAGACAGAGCAACTAGACAATAGAAAGAAATAAAAAGAATAAGGATAGGAAAGAAAGAAATTAAATTATCATAATTTGCAGATGACATAATACTCTACATAGATGATCCCAAAAACTCTACCAAAAGACTGGTAGGTTTAATAACCAAATTCAATGGCATGGTTGGATACAAAGTCAGCACTCAAAAATCAATAGTATTCCTCTAACCAAAGAACAAATGGGTTGAAAATAAAATTAGGCTATCAGCACTCTTCACAATAGCATCCTAAAAAATAAAATACTTAGGAATTAATCTAACAAAGGAAGTAAAAGATTTATACACTGAAAATTACAGTATTCTGAAAAAGGAAATCAAAGAGAATATCAGAAAGTGGAAAGATATCTCTTGCTTACAGGTAGAAAAAACCCAACATAGCGAAAATTGGCATACTCCCAAAATTACTACACAGATTTAATGCAATTTCAATCAAAATACCATTAGCATACCTCACAGAACTAGAGAAAATATTTCTAAAAATTTATTTGGAACAAGAAGAGACCTAGATTAGCAAAAACAATCCTAAGCAATAAAGGCAAGGCAAGGAGCATCACAATCCCTGATTTGAAATTCTACTACAAAGCCACTGTAATGAAATCAGCATTGTACTGGCAAAGAAAACAAACCTGAGGACCAATGCAACAGATTAGAAGACACAAATATTAAAGATAAAATTTTTTAAAAAGGAGATCCAGAAATAACTCTAAACACACTCACCACCTTATCTTTGACAAAGGCACCAAGCATGTTCACTGGAAGAAAGATAGCCTCTTCAATAAATGGGGCTGGAAAAATTGGCTTTCTACATGTAAAAGTTTAATATTTTTTCCATCTATTACGAATGGTATTGTTTTCCTGATTTCTTTTTCAGTGCATTCACTGTTGCTGTGTAGAAACTCTAACTTTTGTGAAGTGGTTTTGTATCCTCATACTTTTCTGAAAGGTTTATCGGAGGGGCTGGGGATTTAGCTCAGCGGCAAAAGCGCCTGCCTGAAAGGTTTATCGGTTCTAAGAATTTTCTGGTGGAGTCTTCTTATATGTAATGGGTAATGTCATCCATGAATAAGGATCATTTGAGTTCTTCCCTTCCTATACACGTTCCTCCTGTCTAATTGATCTGGCTAAACTTTGACTATATATTAAATATGAATGGTGAGAGTGGACATCTTTCTGTTGTTCCTGATTTTAGAGGAAATTCTTTTCTCCCCATTTAGTATGATATTGGCAGTGGGTTCATCATAAGTAGCTTTAATTAGTTTGAGATAAGGTCCTTCTGTACCTACTTTCATTAGCGTTTTTTTCAAGGACTTTTTCCATGTTTATGGAGATGATCATGTGATTTTTTTGTCCTTATTACTGTTCATGTGTGCATTACATTTATTGCTTTGCAAATGTTGTTCCATGCTTGCATCCCAGGAATGAAGACAACCTGGTCACGATGCATGATTTTTCAATTGATTTGTTCCATTCTGTTTGTCAGGATCTTGTTGAGGAATTTTCATCTTTGTTTCTTAAAAAGATTGATCTGCAGTTTTATTTCTTTGTATCTTTCTTTCTTCTATCCAGAGTTTTAATATATTTTTGTTCACATTTGGTAATTCATATATGTCTAGGAATGTCTTCATATCTTGTAGGTTTCCAGTTGATTGGAATTTAACTTTTCAAAATAGCTTCCTTTAATGCTCTGGATTTTGTGGTGTCTACTATGATGACCGCTTTTTCATTTCTAATTGCATTGATATGGGTTTTTGTTTCCTTCTTTCGGAAAGCTTGTCTAAACTTTTATCTATTCTTGCCACAACGTTTAACTATGTGAGATGATGGATAGGTTGATTTTGTTTCCTGTGGCTCTAACACAGCACCTGATGCCCACGCCTTAAAGGAGGAGAGGTTCAACTTAGCTCAAAGTGTCTGAGGGATCGGTCCATGGTCAGCTGGCCCCTAGGCAAGAACATCATGGCAAAAGGGCATGGGGAAGCAAAGATGCTTAATTCTTAGCAACTGGAGAACAGGGTAGGGGACAGCACGAGAGGGAGGGTGAGGGACCAGATGTAGTACACAGGGTTGCATCTCCATTATTCACTGAGACACACTCAGGGGCATGTTCCACCCATCCTTCAGGTGATCCCAAAGCCAATGAAGGTGACTCCTAAGCCTCACCACCACAAGTATGTAACCAGTTTAGCATTATAAGCATCTCATAATATGCTCCATTTTTGAATATATTAAATATTTTTAAATGAGAAGGTATTAAACTTAAATGATTTTAACCTTTGCAGAGGGAACATATAAGTCCCAACATAATTACAAGAGTTAAATCATTAACTAAATGCCACCCCACACACACTGTTTTCATCCTCTATGTTTGGCTGAAGCAGAACAAACCAAGAATGGGACTTTGTCCCAAACATCTCTGAATGAGCAGTAACTGAAGGACAGATGTCCTGTAAGAAAAGCCACAATGTTTGTGAGAATGACCATAGGTAGACATGTGTACTCATGACTTTTACGCAAGGATTTGAAATGCAGAAAATGTGTTGGGAAGATCACCAAATCAGAGCACATAAATCATATGTGCCACCAGTCAATGGAAAGCATGGTGTATACTATGTACTCTTAAGTGCTTTGGAATCTTCATCTAATTTATTCCTTTTTATTTGAAAAAATCACTTTTTTGTTTCTATTTTTTCATTAATATATTTTTCCTATGTGTAATGATTAGATTCCTTCTGGGGAGTTATACACACTCATGACACTGCTTAATTCTTCTTGTAACCCTTGCTCTCCTCCACCCTCCCTTCATCCCTTTACCCCCTTCCAATATGACAGAGATCTGTCTCTCTACTTCTTCTTAGCTATGCTGTTTTACAGCTACCAGCACTGTGGCTTGGAGTGGATCACTTGCACAAAACACCCAAGTGATTTGCTGAGTCAGAATACATGGCAAAATGTATGAAGCCGTCACCCCACAGGCTGATTCTGAACAGGATAAGCTGGGATTCTGCTATGAATTAGTATTTGTGCATTCCTTCATGCCTGGATTTCCTCACTTGTACATACAAAACAGCACCGTGACTGACTGACAGGACTACTGTGGTGATTGTGTCCCTCACGCACACTCACAAGCACATTTCAGGTATTTGAGGAAACATGTGCACATGTCTATAAAATGAAAGTGCTTTGGTAGTAGGGAAGTGTACGCATACCTAATGTATTGTGACCCAGCTACACCATCAACTTCCTGTAACATTTTGGGAAAATCCCTTAATATCTTTGACCTCAGGTTCTACATCTAGAAATGGAGTTACGGATGATAAGGTCACTGTGACCTTGGCAGCTCAAAGGACTCCAAAGTCAGTAAAGTCATTGTCTTGAGATTACGGTAGGACCACAGGGAAGCTGGGAACCGATGCATGTGGCAAACCAGGGCATGAAGTCAGCAGGGGGAAGACTCCATGACAACCGTGACACCAGAGAGCAAGGCCTGCAGTGTTGCCCTGTAATTAGTGTTTCTTCTTTCACCTTTGCTCTCAGGAACACACTTAAGAAGCTGTCCGCACAGTCATTTCTCCTGCTGGGAATGTGGAAGAGGCCAGTGTGGAGGCCAGACCCACCCCGCCAGGAGTGCAATGCTCCACCTGGAAAGTCCCTTCAGAAAAGAGACAAGCAGTTTGAACTTTTGGCAAGAACTTGGGCTTTTTGTGGGCTCTGGGTCCAGGCCAGTGCATAATCTTAGGGCAGCGGGTGCTGTCTCAAGATCCAAGGACCTAGGTGGAAATGTCTGTGGGCACTCGTCTTTCCCATTCTTCAGCTCTCCCTCTCCTTCACTTCTGCACCTGTTTATAGGGCCCTTCCTCCATTTCTCCTTCTCCTTACCCGGAAGTACAAGTAATAAAATCAAAGGTAAGGATCAGGTGTCAAATTCTTAAGAATGCAATCTTGACCTCTGTTACTTTCTGGTTATTTAACTAGTAAAATGAGAATAAGAGGAGTATTTAAGGCAAAGTGAGATAATGTCTGTTGGGTCCGATCAATGTTTAGAATCAGAAAATGAGAATTGAATCAATAATAATTTTCGAGCTTCAGGGGAACTGCAGGGATCCTAAGATCAAAACATCCTTGTCTGTGTTTGTCAATTTTCCCATCCCCAGAACTCCCTTAGTTTAATTTTTTCTCTTCAGAATTCCGTTTTTTAAAAAATAACAATGAATAACTCAATGGCATATGACTCAATTCTTTGATTCCTGACCTCTGAGCAGTAGGAGACAAACGAAGTCTTACCGATGGGACAGAGTCCTCTCGTACAATTCCACCGGGCCTTCAGAGACCGTCACACAGCTCTCCACTGTCATCTTTGGTGACCCTGGGCCTGCAGACACCAGCCTGGCAACAGAGGCAGCGGGGATTCTCAGTCCAGGCACAGGGAGATGGGTCTGTGTGCCCCTTTCACCTCCTTTACTTATATTTTTTCTCGTTCTGCAGCAATCTTGGCTTTAACTGCTTTCTTCCCTGCACACATTCACAAACTGATCTTATGAGGTCCAAATTGGAAATGTTTCTTGATTACTGTATGTAGCTAGTGAAGCCTCCAATCAGTGTTATATTGCCCAGGTTTTCATTTCCAAATTGCTTGTGGAAATAGTACGCACTTGCAAAACATTTACCCAAAGGAGTGAGTTTATTCACAAATTTTCCCTCTTTCTCCAGCATACCAAACTACATCAAAACATTTTGGGGACAAATTTCATCATGAATGAGAAAAACAATCTACAACCCTTCACTCTTTTTGTAAAACAGTGAGTTATACACAATACACTTACATATGGCTGCTTGTGTCATTAAAATGTAACAAGAAAGTAATATAATTTAGCGCAGGTGATAGATCAGGAGTTTGACTTATTCTGACTGAATTTAGCAATTCCTTTTGGTTTGAGGGTGTGTTCTGCAGTATTTATAAATTCAAAATATTTTCACTAAATCTAATTCATCTTAGATAAAATACCTGAGAAGCTACATAGGCAACAATATTCTAAGAGTAAACAGACTTCCAAGTTCATAAAATCCTAATGGAAACTAAATAAAAATAAGATTCTCACTTCACATCCAAAGCTGGGTGAAAGACCCAGTTACATATTAATGTACTTAATACATTTATTGAGCAATGCAAGTGTCAGTGTGTGCGACGCCTAGCTCTGAGTAGTGGCTCATCTGCACCGGCCCATTTGTGTCCACCGGCACTGTCGGTGGGGAAAAATAACAGTGGCTGCAGGCATTTGTAATCCAAATGTGTGGGTGATACCACAATAAAACATGATAGAAATGGGTATGATGATTTAGTAACAATATTTCTTAAGTCTTAAGTTAGAGATCATTTAATTAAAGAATTAATTTTATCAAGAGCTCCCTAAGAGCTAGGGATTTGGCTCGGTGGTAGAGCGCTTGCCTCACGTGCACAAAAGCCTGGGTTTGAACCCCAGTAACCTCCCCAAAAGAGCTTGATAGGAGTTCTTCCTGTTTCCTCTAATACAGAGACAAGTTTTGATGGGATGATTATTTATAACCATTACTGAGGCATAAAAAGGGTAATAACCCACCTAAACTATGCAGCCAGGAAGTAAATGTCAGAAAAACTCTGATCTCTCTCTCTCTCTCTCTCTCTCTCTCTCTCTCTCTCTCTCTCTCTGTCTTTTTTTCTCTCTCTCTCTTTCTCTTTCCCTCCCTCCTCTCTCTCTCTCTTCCTCTCCTTTTAAGGATGTACATATCTCAGTAACTGTTAAAAATTACAAATATAAGCGCTATACAAAATCGACTCTGAAGAAGAAAATCAAAATTATATCACCCTTCACATGGAAAGAGAGAGAGAGAAAATACATGAGAGATTATACAAAACTAAAATATTCTCCAGAAAAGTGGAAATATTTAAGGATTCATCTGTGATATGGGGCTTATTCCTTGTTGGTTTAAATCTTACACAGTTGAAGCATTGCTTTAATGTCTTTTTATAAATTGCAACTCTTTGTCCCAGTGCATGAAAAAGCCAGAATAGAAATTTCAAATTTATTTAGGGAAGATATCTCCTGTATACTCACAATTACAAAACAAGAGTTATATAATGAATTATCAGAAGTCTTTTGAGAAATATTTAAGTTTAATCAATATTCTTTACTTCAATGTAATAACTTCAGCATTTACAGACATTGTTTTAGAAAATATGCTTTTAATATTTTATCTTCTCTTTTCATTTATGGCATAATTCACTTCTGTGGTCACAGGGCCCTTTTCTTCCAGTGCCACACACTGTATTACCAATGAAAGCTGGCACTGCTGCTTATCAAAACATACCAGACAATTGATGTTTTGTATAAAATCACTTTATATGTTAACATTTTCCCCAAAGCCTTTATTTTTTTTCTTTTTTTGGCCTGGTTTTTAAAAAGTTGTTACAAATATTCACAGCACTTTCTCCTTTTAGATGAACATTCTTACAAACTGAAAAAGGGTATTTTATGAACAGACAAGTCACCAGTCAGTTTAACTCTTATAATTATCATGAGACCTCCTAGAGAGTTGACAATCTGCAGCACAAAGCAGGCTCTTGAAAATTTGACAGGAGGGGTCTTTCCACAGAAAGGCAGTGACAGATTTCTCTTTCTAGTACGCACTGGAGGAAAGATCAATTCAAAATGGTAGTGACACGCTTTCTCCTGAGTAAACAGTGTCCTCTTATCTCCTCCCTGATATTAGGAGCACTGAGGCAATGACTGTGGAAAGGAATATTACAGAGATCACCCAGTTCATCCTCCTGGGATTCTCAGATTTTCCCAGAATCACACCAGTGCTCTTCATTACATTCCTGATCATCTACATTACAAGTCTGACCTGGAACCTGTCCCTCCTTCTTTTAATATGGATGGATTCCCACCTGCACACACCCATGTATTTCTTCCTCAGTAACCTGTCCTTCATAGATCTCTGCTATGTCAGCTCCACGGTCCCCAAGATGCTCTCCAACTTCTTCCAGGAGCAGCAAGCTATCACCCTAGTGGGTTGCATTGTTCAGTACTTCATCTTTTCTACAATGGGACTGAGTGAATCTTGTCTCATGACGGCCATGGCGTATGACCGGTATGCTGCCATTTGTAGCCCACTGCTCTATTCCTCAATCATGTCACCCACCCTCTGTGTTCAGATGACACTGGGATGCTACATGGCTAGAATCACAGCTTCTTTATCACAAATATGTGCCTTGCTTCAACTCCACTTCTGTGGCCCCAATGTCATCAGGCACTTCTTCTGTGACATGCCCCAACTGCTAAAACTATCCTGCACTGACACTTTCTTTGTTCAAGTCCTCACTGCTATATTAATAATATTTTTTGGAATAGCAAGTGTCCTAGTCATCATGACCTCCTATGGCTACATAGTCATGTCCATCATGAAGATCACATCAGCTACAGGCAGGTCCAAGGCATTCAACACCTGTGCTTCTCACCTGACAGCCGTTTCCCTCTTCTACACTTCCAGCATCTTTGTCTATTTGAGTTCCAGCTCTGGTGGCTCCTCCAGCTTCGACAGATTTGCATCCGTTTTCTACACTGTGGTGATCCCCATGTTGAATCCTTTGATTTACAGCCTGAGGAACAGGGAAATCAAAGATGCCTTCCACAGGCTGCAGAAGAAGATGGTCTGCTGCTAAAGCTCACAGATCTGGATGTGCTGATGGGTTTGGCCAATCAGACTCATCTTAACCCACAACAATGAGCCCATGAGTGGGACTCTACAAGTTACACACTGACTTTGGACAAGGAAACTTAACTGGTATGAAACAGCATGCCAATATGAACCAAAAGCGACTAGATGGCAGATGTACCATGTGTTTCTAAGTCCTAGAGGTCTATTGTTTTCATGTTAATTCATTAGTCTATCAGCCAATATTTGATAAGCCACAAGTTTTAGACACTTTTTACTTCCTTTTGCTTCTGTGATTGAAGTCTGCTCCATCTCAGCACTCTGCCCTTAAAGACAATGCCTGGTTGAGATCTCTGGGATCTAGAAACCTTGTCTTTCAGATGTTTTAAGACAGTGTACTGAAGCCATGGTGGTAGCACGGATCGTTCTGTGTTTCTGAACAGGTGGGATGAACCCAGTCAGGACCTATTGTTTGAAGGAAACAAAGCTCTCCAAGGTCCTGGCTGGGACTTCTGCAAAGATCAACCTCAGATAGCTAGGTTCTATCTCAGGGAAAGAGTGCTAATCACCCACCAAGGCTTCAGTCATGCTTTTCCCTCCGCCTGCTATGACTTAAGGAAGGAAGGGAGAAGAGGGGAGAGAAAGGGTCAGGAAAAGACCTAAAGAGTGTCACGCACATGGACCAGATCTCAAAGATGAATGCGATCATTATGTATTCTAAACAAATTCTAATAAGAATGAAAATTTTTTAAAAAGAAGAGGACCATTTGAATTATGAAGAGGGTGGCAAGGGTGACACAGTTTCTTGAAAGCCTTTTTCAGGAGTCTGGTCATTTAACTTCTTGCATCTAGAATCCAGTAGGGATTTATGATGGGCTTCAAAAGTCCAAATCATCACTAATCTGATATTGTAGGAACCTGACCTCTCTTACGGTTCCCTGTAAAAGCCAAACAATTGACCTTTGATTGACATAGTCAATGACATTTCACTCTCAGATGGAGAGAGGGTGAGCAAATAGAGAGGGACAGCAGTAGGAAGAAGGAGAAGAGCAGAGATGGAACCCCAGGGGGACCCAGGGCCCTAGGTCTGAACAGGGAGCAGCACACCGACCAGACCCTGGAGTCCCAAGGAGACTCACGATCCACCAAGAGATTCCTTTTAAAACTTTAAAGAGATATTTCTTTGCATCCAAGTTTAGATCTGAAATTTACACATATTGCACTAGCATGTGTATACCCTTTGTGCTTTGTGTAGCAGTATCACATAGGTTTTTTTTCCTTTTCTTTTCTTTTCCTACATAGGTTGACAGGTGAGAAATAATCTTCATTTTACAGATAAAACTTTTGGGCATATTTCATCCTCCTGGGCTCTTGAAGGGTAGCCCACAATCTCTCACAAATCTCACAGTATATGATATATAGCACATAAGTTCTTCTACTTGGTCAAAAATCATTTCTTTGTTGGTGGGCTACTTGGATCAAACATCGTGCATTTGCTGTTCTGCTTCAAAGCTATGTGAAGATGCTGTTTACTGCATTTGTCTATTTTCTTTAAAATTCCACATGTGCATGAGGACTATAGACAATAATATTTTATTACATTCAGGATTTTTGTTAAATGAAAATTTAGCTATTCTTGCCACAAACAAACTGGTAAGTATGTGAGAAAATGAGCATGTTAATATGCTTTATTAGGGTAATCATTTTAATATAACATGTACCTGATAGTATCATGTTGTATATATTAAACACATAAAATGAAATTTATTACTAACAGAAGCTATTCATTTTCAAAAATTAAACCATTTTAGTATTTATCCAGGATAACATATAAGTATTAATCACATACCATGAGTTAAATCAGCAACAAATTCTCCCCCACAAACTCCCTTCTCTTGAAAGGTAAAGTTGGTTTAAGTAGATCAAACCAAGAACAGGAGCTCGTCCAAGACACCTCCGTATTTCTCACACCTGATGGAATAGATGAGCCATCTCCACCCTTCACAAAACCTCCTCCAAACAGACAACAATAATTATACAAATGATCTTACACACATAAAAATATGTGAAGGACTGGAAATCCAGCATGAGTTAGAAAGATCTCCAACTCAGAATATATGTTATATGTGCCAATAATAGATAGAATGATGCATAGTCTATAAATTCCAAAAAGTGCTCTATAATCTTTATCTCATTTAATTTCCTTTAATCCCATACTATAGATGAAGATAGTGAAGCTTGGAGAGGTTGATTTACACAACCAGGAAGTGGCAGAACCAGAATTCGACACTAATTGTGTTATGCCCACACCTGTGCTTGTGATCAGGATAAGTCATGACACCTCATGAGCCTGTGACTTCATGGATTGCATGTTATCAGTTCGTTTAATCTTAGTGCCTTTCCTCCACAAATGCATGGAAAGTATCTGCCTTAAAACTGCTGCCATAGGGCCAGGGATATAGCTCAGTGGCACAAGCACCTGAGGTCATGAATTCAATTTTCAGTACCAAAAAAGAAAAAAAAAAAAAAACTGCTGTCATGATGGATTCCCTTTGACTATTGGAGAAAATGTGTGTATAATGTAAAAGTGTTTGTGAGCAGGGAAGTATATGCCTATGTATTTGGTGCTATCAGGCTCGGTTACCAGTCAGCTGTACCATCTGAAGAAAATCCCTTCCTATTTCTGACCTCAGCTTCTTTGCCAGCAAAGTAAAAGTTTGGAACCAGCACATCCCTAGATACTCTGTATCCTGAATGACTCCAAGGTCAGTAAAATTTATGATCCTGAGATCGGAACAGGACCAAAGGAAGTAGGACACGGATCCACATGGTAAAGTGGGACAGGAGATCAGCAGGGACAAAAACTCCATGACAACCACATCACCCAAGAGCAAGTACGTGAGTGTTTTCTCCCTCTAATTGGGTTTCTCCTTTCACCTCGGCTCTCAAAGGCTCATTAAAGAGGATCCCAGCATGGCTACCTCCCTTGCTGTGAGTGGGCAGCCACTTTGTGCATGGAAGCTTGCATGGAGGATCTCAGTGAGGCCCACCTGGAAAAGTCTTTGGAAAAGAAATCAGTAGTTTCAACCTTTGGCAAGAACTCCAGATTCTTGCGTGATCTGGGTCAAGGTCAGCGGGCAAAATTTAGAGTGGATTCTGCATTGTCTCAAAAGCTGAGTGGCATTTACTGTAGGACCAGATACAGCGAGGTTTGTGGAAACTGGTCTTCTCTAGTCTTCATCTGTTCTCTCTCCATCACTACCACGCCCTGCCCTTTGGCTTCTTTCTTAGTCTCTCTTTCTCTTTTCTCATCTCCTTTAACCTTCAGTGAGAAGAGTCGTCTCAAACAAGATTTCAGGTATTGCTCTGAGGTGACAGATGGGTGTTGAATCATTGCAGATGTGATCTTGAGCCTGTCTCACCCTGTTTTCACTGTATAGCAGGCATAACAGGTCATTTGGATGCCAAAAACTATGCCTACGAAGCCAGATGGATTTTAAAAGACATGAACTAAGAACCAAATCAAAGACAATGATTTACTGAGTTTCAGGGGAGAAATCTTAAAGTCAAAGCATGGTGTATGTTCCCTAATGTTCTCCATCACCAGCCCATTTCTAATGTAATTTTTGTCTTTCAGGATTCTATTTTAAAACAGTAATGATTAATAATTCAATTTGATTTAAATATACAGCTTTGATTCATGACTTCTGAGCCAAACGAAGTCTTCATGATATCACAGAGTGGTCTTGTACAATTTTCCTCTAGACTTTTAGAAACTTTCAAGCAGTCCCCCGGTGTCATGTCTGCTGAGCCCAGCCTGAGTAACGGAGGTGTCAGAGATTCTCAGTCCGGGCACACAAAGTGTTGGTCGCTGTGTCCCCTTCACTTCCTTTACTTACATTTTCCATCCTCAGCAGCCTTCCTGCTTGAACCAATTTTACACCTAGTGCATCTCATCAAAGCGGTGAAATATGGAACCAGTGCTTACATCACTCACTTTTTCTTCTTCCAGCTGTCTTTGGAGGTCATGAACACCTACTAAATGTGAATCAAACAGAGTGAGTATATTCAGATTTTTTTCCTTTTCTCTAACTTACAAAATTTTAGAATGATAAAGTGTCAAAACAAATTTTACTATGAATAAGAAAAACAGTGTACAATTCCTCATTCTTTTCTGGGAATGCTGTGTTCCGTGGGATACACTCACTTGTGGCTGCCTCAATCACCAGAAGGGAGTAAAAGGGTGCAATTTCATGCAGCTGATGGGTCTATAACCAGACTCCCTCTCACTAACGAGATCAGTTATACTCGTGTGTGGGAGCTTTTCTTTGTCAGCGCTTGTCATGTCAAAATAGTTTTAGTAAATCTAACTCAGTCCCAATAATACATCAGCAATACTATCCTAAGGGTAAACAGGAAGACATCCAACTTCATAAAATTATAGCAGGAGCTAAGGAAAAGGTAGAGTCTCATTTCCCATGCCGAGGGGAGGTGGAAGACCCATTTACTAGTATATTTAACATCTATTTACTGGGTGATGTGGATGTTCAGGCCCACAGGGCTGGGCAGCGAGTATCGACACCGCTCCACCAGTCCACTCTGCCTCCACCCGAGGGGTCGGCCTGAGAGTACTTGGTGGAGAAACAGATGCAGCAGCAGGAACTTGCAATCCAGTTTCATGGGCGATAACACAAGGACAGGAGGTGAAAGTGAATATAATTTATTAACACGTCTTTAATCTAGATTGAGGACCACACTAACTTAAGAGGCAACTGTATTGAGAGTGTCTTGATTCTTCAGTACTATTCTGGCTTATTCCCTTTAACAGGGAGAAGCAGTGGTGGGAGCAATGTGCTAATGCTTGTTGAGCTCTGACTGTGCTTAACGCCTTATGTTACTCCCTTCCTGCCACAACCTGTGAGGTGGTGAATTTCACTCTCTCCAGTCATAGATGAGATAACCAAACATGGAAAGGTAGAAACCCTACAAAAGTTTGTAATTTCTCCT